TGTCCCTGGGTGATGGCCATGGACCCTCTCTCCCGCCCTTTCCGCGGGAGTTTGAGGTAGGACGTTTGTAAGAGTCACAGGAGGGCGCCGGGGAGGCAACGAAACAGAAGCTGGATGGTCATTCGGACGCCGACGCCGCCACCCCACCCCCCCCGGTTCCGGGCATGTGAAGTGCAGGCAATCTTCCCGTCTTATGAACCTCTTCAGACTATCTTCTAATTTCTGTACTTCCCCTTTTTCACGGGAGTAAGAGAACACCGCTTTCCCCCTCAGTTCTCTTGGCGTTTAAAAAAAAATAAACAACCCGCGCGCGCTCACACGCCACCCAGTCCTTCTGTTTCTTCTCGGCAATATAAATATTTTTCCATCTGTAAAGCGAAGACGGAAAGGGGGGAAACCACCGCAGTGTTTTCAGTGTGCAGCCGCGGCCGCAGAAAATACCCAATGGCGGAGCTTCGCGCTTCAAAGCCACCTCCCTTCTAGCCTCGCCTCGCCTCGCCTCACCGCGCCAGCTCTTCGCGAACGCTGAACTACAGCCGCCGCTGACTTTGCCAGCTTGAAAAAGCAAGGAGCGCTGGGGAAAAGCAAACAGATGGGACGCTCCTGCAGGAAGGTGAAAGGGAAGCATCTCAGATTCTGCCCAAAAGATTTTCCCGACTTTTTTGTGTCACGCTTGACTGCAGTGCGTAATTTCTGCCCTCAGGTCCACTTTGAGGGAAACTTTCCCGCCCCAAATTCAATCGGAAAGTTTTGTGACTACAATATTCAAAAGCGAGAGAAAGACAAGCCGCACGCCTCCTCCCAACATTTTGCCGGGCGAGATTGTGCTCCTGCGCATACACTTTCTAGAGAGTAAGTCCCATGGAAATCTGACAGGACTAACTTTCCCATTCCAAAAAAAACACCTGCAATCTACAGCTACAGGTAACCTAAGAAACGCCGCCACTGACGTTTATCCAAGGGTTCCCCTCCATACGCTCAGCTACTGCCTTCCGCTAAGTGTTTGGTCCAAATCAGGGTGCAGGTGCGTGTCCTCCCCTTCAGTTTGGTCCGAAAGCCACAGCATTACTGGCGCAGGCTCTCTCCCAAAGGCATAACAGGAAAACATCAGCTGGATCTGAACCCCGTTTCCGCCCCGCCTCCCCCCAGTGTCCACCACCCTCCTCATTACTCTTCCACCCCTCCCCTCTCGCCGACCTTAAGGCATTCGGGGCAAGGTTGGCGCAACCAGGAGGAGATGCAAAGAAAACTAGTCCTTCTTTCCTACCGAAACAGCCCACCGCCTGCCTCCCAAGGGGCGCTGCCACGGGGCAGGAGGGAGCGAAAGTTCCACGCAGCAGTCCGGCCTACTCCATTTGGCCGCGGGGCGGTCCGCTACCCAGCTGAGCGACGGGCTTTTCAGCACCCCCACGAGAAGGAAAGACCGGGAACGGCGCGCTTTCCT